GTCTGGCCTATATCGGGTTTGAGCCTAATGAGGTCCAAGCTCAGCTCATATTTAATTCCGACCTAATTTTTAGGTTCACTTTCAGATCGGCTCACTAAAAGATAGAGCTCATCAGACTTTTTGTCGGATCGAATGAGCCGAGCTCGGATTAGCCCAACTCCATTGACAGTCCTAATATCTACCATCAGCAATTGTTGACCAAAGACGACAATAAGATATCCAAACATAGCCTTATGCCGATGGTGGGCAATTAAACCAAGCCCCCCTCCCTCCTCTTCTCCACTTCGAAAAATCATAAATTCACCACGGGAGAAGGGAAGAACCTTCTTCTGTTTTCTGGATGTCGTGCCTTTGCAAGTGAAGCCCTGTCTTAGACACTGGCCATTTGCTTGGCCAGAAAACATTTTAAGTTAATTTTAGATAGAATATTATTTGAAATAATTATTATAGCAATTTTATGATGTGATGTATGTGAGATAAAAAAATGGGTTGAGAAATATATTTATGATATAAAAAAATATTATTTGAAAAAATTTGATATCCAAACAGTCATCTCGGCTGCGTCCATCATTGACTTGCAAAAGTCGTGGCCCTTCTAACTTTTAGGTTTTGGCTCCACTTACTCTGGCTGTACACATATGTTACTCTGAAACTACAAATGAATTACAATATGAAGAAGTAGGATATAGTGGAAATTTCGATAAGCGATTTTAACTAGATTATGCCTCTTTTATGAATTTTGTCCTCATGCACATTGAAGGTGAAATTTGGTACCCATTAATTTATTTATTGTTAACTTCACTAGGATACTACATTGAGGAAATTGGAATTTAGGAGAACTTGACCAGTTTAAAGACCAAAAATTGGCGTCTTAGGGTTTGTTTGATAACATAAAAAAGTGCTGAAACTGAACTTTTTCAAACATTCAAATGTTTTGAGTGTTTGATAAATGAAAATCCATCTGCTGAACTTGTTAAGCAGTACTGAATTTGTATGTATTTTTTTTCAACACAAGAATGCTAACTGAATGCTTAATTCTGATAAGAATTAATATAATTACTTCAACTATCTTATCTTATCTATCAAATTTATTCTTGTTTGTTAATTATACTCAAAATTCTTATCTAATTTAACAACTTGATATTTTCTATCTAACAGTTTTCTATTTCTCTTTTCTCCTTTTTAATGATTTTCACATCTTCTCCATACTCCTCATATAATATATTTCATCTTTTATATTAATTTGATTCAAAAATAAATATTGTCATTTTCATACCAAACAATTTTAAACTAATTAGATCATAAGTTCTATTTCTTTTTTGGATGAAAAAGTATAAGGGCAGAATTATCAAATTTAACTTATTAAGCATTCAGTTATAAATGTTTATCAAACAGTATAAATAGGTTTAGCATTAAAATTCAGATATTCATATATTTTTTTAGTGTTTAAAATTCAACAAATTAATTATTTCAATATTTAGATTTCAGAATTCAAATTTAGTTTTATCAAACGAAACCTTAGTACCCTGCCAATTTGGTAACTCATACTTTTTGTCAGTCTTGATGAGTATGAGTGGTTTAAACATGAGGAAGAAAGAACAGAATATGACATGCACAAACAAAAGAATATAAACGCCAAGGCCCGGTTGCCGGAAAGTCGGGCAGCAGTTTCATATTTGATAACCACTCTCATTAATAATTGGTACTATAATAACCGCTGTGATGTCCAATCCTTCATTATCAAATTAATTAAAAGTTATTCTTCCTTAAATTTGATTAAAGGACTAGTTCCTACCGCTTAATAAATTTTTACCAAAAAAAAAATTTGAGATTCCAAAATGTAATTAGCATCCTTAGGAAAATTAGATCTAAAACCCTAATAATTCAAGGGGAAAAATTTTAGGGGCTCTCGAACGTTTATCTATGTAAAGTTTTAACTCTTCAACAATTATGAAAAAAATTTTGACCCTTGATCTATCAGAAGTATAAAATGTTGGCCTTTCTATCAATTCATGAGTGACGGAGAAAAAGTAACATGTGCAATGTGTAGGGTGTAGGGTTATAAATGAATCGAACCGGTCGTGAGCATCTCGAATTCGAGGTTGACTTGAACAAGAATCGAGATCGAACTGACCAAGTCAAACTTGATTTCAAAGATACCCAACTCATTAAATCACGAGGCGACTCGATTATATATATATTTTTTATTTTAATAATAAAATTACATATATATTCCTAATTTATTATTATTTGTTAAGAAAAATAATTATTTTATTTATTTTTTTTAAAATAAAATAATTATTTTATTAAATTCGAACTCGAATTTTATATTGAAAATTCGAATTTCATAAAATTAAGTTGATACTCGACTCGTTTGCACCTCAAGCAATGCGCGAGAGATCAGTAAGTGCATTATAATCAAAAGTGTAAAGCATTTATCGAGTAAAAGGTAGCTTCTTTTCCCATCTTCGATCTCGAGTTGCAGACAAAGGAAAACAAAAAAATGTATACCATGGGAACAATAACCTTTTCAAATCAACATTGGGTGCCAAAGTCCCTGCCCTTGGGCTCATAAAATAACGAGTTGTCGTGGTCAGGCGATGAAGCTTTTACGTTTCATGGGGGCTGATGTGCAATCCTAGAGATTAACGGCAAGAGGTATCCTCATCAAAGTGAACAAAAGCTCACAGATAAAACATTGGCACAAATTTATAGGAATCGGCATACGAATTTTAAAAAACAGAGGATTTTTTGGCCTCTTCTTCAGGCCACCAATCTTTTCACCGATGTGCATCATTACAATCCCAACAAGTATAAGATAAATTAAGCGCCTGTTTCTCCTTCTAATGCCAGTAGAAAAGTTCTTGGATCCTTTTGTTTAATTTGTTCAGTTGAGGGTTTTGGAGGAAAGGGATGTAAATTGAGGCAAATCAATTAAGTCAAAGTGCTTTTATTGTCTTTTTTATTCGCTAGATGCTCCTGCACCAACTATATTGTCCTTGCTATTTCCTTGTGCGTCCTACGTGATGTTGTTCTTTATCACTCATAACTACTGAAATTGATAGAAGGGTCAATAATTTACACTTTTGATAGGTCGAGAATAAAAAATTTCATCATAATTGTTAAAGGGCAAAAATTTTACACGGTTAAAAGTTTGAGAGCCATAGAAACTAGTTTGAACCTTATGCTAGTGGGACTATCTTTTCGTAACTAGGATTAAATTTATTTAGAATAATTCTATAATAAACGACATACGACTTGCGACAGACACATTGAAAAATGGTTCATATTCTTTAATTTTAATCATTTTGTATTTATCACTTAAAAATATAGCGATTTTCGGTCGCTCCACGTAGGTGAACTCTTTTATTTAATTGCTTATTTGTCTCAAGACATTATAATTGGGGCCAGACTATCATCCACGTGATGACAAATAGCAAAATTTAACTACTAAGGTTGGCGTTTAAGTGTGCTAATTAATCCAGTCTTTGCTTGATAGTATCATTATTTCCTACGCTCCCTAGTTAAGCCTTAACACTTATTATTGACAGCCAACTCAGCATTTCATGTGGTCAAATCTTACCCCAATAATATCAATATTTAACTTTATATATGTGTATAATATTGCTCTGTGTCTACTTGTCTGAGATTCTCTATATTATTGATGTCAAACGATGTTCCTGAGTTTTTTAATATGTAACTTGCGTTGATGCCAAGAAGTTGCATTAAGAGAAAGTGATGTGAGTGTGAATTTTTCAGTAGGAGAAAGACCTGTGGAATGTGGACCTCTTTGTTCATCATATCAGAAACTTCTTTCGGCACATTAGTGCTATTCATTTAGCAAAAAGAACAAAGCCCACTAAATTTTTCATCATAGGCAACACAAAACACATTATAATTAGTGAGGGCCATCTTGTGACATAGATCTAAATTTTTTAAGGGTTTGGCTGTTCTTTGGCAGCTAGCAATAATGTTTCGAGGATTTGGGTGTAACTTTTGCTTCTCGTCATGGTCCTACTTTCATTGTTATAATTTGTAGTGTAATAGTTAGTACATTTTTGTCGATTTGAGTTCTTGAAATTAGTAGTCCAAATGCACAGCAAGTATACTTTATCAATTTATCTAATGATGAAAGAAGAGGATAGCACGTTATTCAAATCTTTTTGGGAAGAACTCTGCTTGCAAAATTAATCCCAGGATATCTTTTTTTTTTTTTTTATGAAATCATCCTCATTAAATTTGATCCGGCAAACTTTAATGCACTGAATCGAGATACGACTGCCTAAAAACTTTTCATATTATTTCAAGGGCGACTGTGTACCAATTGTTGCAGTATTTCTTTTTTCTTTTTTTATGATCGTATCAAGTAGTCCATATATTTGCATTACCATACAAACATCTTATTATATGAGGAGTGGATATAGCATAGCCAATGTACTAATTAGGGAAAAAAATATTCATTGATTAAAAGCAGAAAGTAAACTGCCTACTATCTTTCTAGGTGTTTATCATTATAAGCAATTAATTAATAAGAAGGGAAATCAAAGGTTGCTTTTGTTTTTATTCCTCCTTTTGTGTTTAATACAGGGAGAAGATCTAAGGAATTTAAACTTGTTGATCCCCTTAAAATGTGTAAGATCATGACCAAAGACTAAAGAACCAAAGGTAGGTGAACGCCCTTCTCAGTGCTTGTCTTTCGACATGTTTTTGACTTGGACATAAAATCAGAAAATTTTGCATCTCCTCACATTATTTACAACACATAGTATGCATATTAAATTCCGCCCCATGCCTTGCCCAATCAAAATAGCAATCATAAACTAATGTATGGTTGTCATTTCTACTGTGGTCCAACAGTGTATCAATACTTAACCTCACATGGGATTGTGTAACTTCTACTCATAATGCCATGAAACATCACATGCAATACAGAGAGGAAACCATAGCTCGATGTTGAATTAGATAAACATATATATTAGGTGTTCTTCAAATAGGACGAATTTTTGCACTAAAAAAAGATGTTGGCACTTGTTCCTAGAAAATAGTAATGCATAAATTCTGAATTTTACAATTTGTCTTAGAGCATCATTGACTTGTCCTCACATTCCATACCAATTTCCAAGATAACAAGAGAATACCAAATATAAAGATAGGAAAGCAAAAGAAATTCAAGTAGACTATCATAAAACAAACACTTATCTATTGATGTTTTGCCAATTCTTGATGCCCTTGACCTTGAGACCATGAATTTTGTAGCTTGATCAACGACGATTTAACAAACTATAAGGTCTTGATCTTGGAAGATAAACAATGGATTCTGAGACTGCACAAGTCCTTTTGCAAGAAGCATACATGTTGATGAACCCAAATCGATCACTTAAACTTGTCTTTGATGAAACTTTTGAGCCCTTCCACAAATTACCAATAACATTTCCATCATGGTGACGATGGTGATCATCCTTGGAACATTCCACTAATGCTGCAAAGAATGGATCCATCCTAAAACTTTCACTGGGGTTGTAGAACTTCTTGGGAGAAATGATCATGTCTTCTCTATTATGCTTCCTGAAGGAATTTGTGCTGAAACTTCCAGCTGGTGGCAATGGGAGAAGGCCTAAAGCAGATAAACCTTCCTTCTTGGAAATTTCATTCTTGGGAATTCCTGGGATTTGCTCCCAAGAAAATGGGACTCCTGAGAATCTTGCTTGAGGGGTTCTGGGAGGACTGAATGGGGAATTATCACCAGGGAAAGTTAATGATCCAGCAGAGGATGAATTGGATGAAAATGATGGTGATGAAGATAGGGAAGAATTAGTCCTGCGAGAAGAAGGAAGGAACAAAAGAGTTGAATATGGGGTGGTATCAGCATCAGTAGGTTCAATTTGGGCATGGCTAGCTCCACTATATGCTGCTTCAGTAGAAGCCATTGCTTTTCTGAGCAAGAAGAGAAGTGGTTAAGAAGAGCTTGTATTAGTCTTTTTTTTAGTTACTTCTAGTGGTTTATATAGAGAGAATTTGTGTTTCTTTTGAATTAATTTGTCATTTATTGATTATTATTACCACTTTGGTAAATAAAAATGTGGGGCAACAAAATTGAAAACAGAAAGATATTGTAATTTACTAATAAAAAGAGGACCCCATGACATTATGACAAGGATGGAGAAAGAAGGGGGGAAAAGAGGACGGAGAAAGAGGAGGGGACTTGGTGGGAAATAAAAAGTACTGGTTGGCTGGGGCATTATGCAATGGATATTTTAGCATACTAAGTTACATACTATGTAAGACACTAAGAGTCACGAGCAAGGGTTGATTGAAGTGAATAAAGCTATTACTTCCAAAGTTAGTATTATTTGTGCCAAAACAGCACATCATCCCAAAAACAAGCAGATATAGTTAACTGAAGATGAAAATTAAGACAACAGTTTCTTTGAAATCCTCATGTCGAACATACTTGTTACTGACTTAATTGAGATTTGGCAAAAATAAGACGAACTCATAAGATTTCTCTGGGCAAAGGTAAGTGTTTAAGTATCACACAATTTAGAATAAGTTGCTAAACAATTTACCATAATTTGGGAAATCTCAATTTGATCCACCAAATTTAAAGTGAAGCATCTTGATTACTAATGCATATGTTTAGGGGCCACTAAGTCGGTTCTCAATCTTCGTTGCACTCATCTTATTACTAGAAATTAGACAGCCAACTCCAATGGATAATTTCATCGGTAAAAAAAAATCACAAGATTATAAGAAATTAAATTAGGTCCCTAATTGTTTTAACCTAGAAAAATTAACAAATTAATATGGGATCAAGACAAACTTTAGGTATGCCGAGTGAGGGAGGAAATTGTCGTTACCCTTCAAATGTGAGGGACTAATTCCACATCTGTCAGAATGAAAAGGACTGCTTTGGCAATTCATCCCTCAATTTGTAGTCTAGATATTGAAGAAAAACTAAATTTGGGGGAGTAGTTGTGATGTATCACATGAAGGTGATGGGATATGGTATACCATACATTTGTGTCATATCTTTATTTCGTTAGATAGCTAATCCTATATTGTTTATGTTTAGACAACACATCCATACCTTTACTTACCACTCCCAATGAAATAAGTTGGAAGAGCATCCAGTATTAAAATGTTCATGTGTTTCGTTAAGTGTGCGGATCGGAGTCCATAGTCAGGCTAGTGCATCACGTTTTAATGCTTTTTTAATTTGCTGTGAAAAGTACATGTGTGTAGAGCTACCAAATTTTGTGTATCATCTGCATTTCTGCCGTAACAAAATTAATGATAGCTACTTATTAATATTCTTCTGCAATAAAGCTAGAGACCTAATAGGAAGTAAAAGATGTCATTGGTCAGTAGTACCACGGCTGTAGTGCCAAAATCAGAATAGTTTGTCCTTTCAATCGCTAGAACAGAAATGGGATAAAATTTCTTCCAATTGCCTATGTGTTTAATTTAGTTAACCGAGGGTCTCAAGAATCTTAAGCACAATAATGAGTTCTTCTAGTTTTTTTTCTTTTTTTTTTTTAACACAATGGGTATCTAGGTTCGTGAACTGGATACTGTACAACCCAATTAATCCCACTACGTGGCCGGGAGAGGCTACCCAACATCACCGACCAGGTAAACCTGGGGACTCAATCTCTGTAGCTCTCCCCCAACTGGGACTACAACCACGGAACCGAACCCCGAAGGGCCAATAATGAGTTCTTCTAGTTACTATATGTTAGTTTTCATGTCACTGTTTATGTGTTAGATTCTAATTTTACTGGATTATAATATATATGTATTATTCCTGTTATTGTGAGTTTTTTTTTTTTTTTGTGATCTTATCAAAACGAAAAAAAAAAAGGGAGTATCAAGATTTATGACTTCTCATTGACGAGACAATACAGATGTTATGCAGTAGATATAGACACTAACATAGCAATTTAGTGAAAGACGAGAGCAATAATAGCTCATTCAAGTTGAAGTGATTCAATCATTCTTACAATCTCACTAAAGAGTAGTGAAAGGACCTGAACAAAAATGATTGTAACTAATAATTTACATTCCTAATTGATAAAAGATCAACTAAGGCATGATTTGATAATGAAAATCATTTTCTCAATATTAGTTAGTCTGTAAAAGTATAGCAAACACTTCTTATTTAATTTGGGGTCTTGAAATATTAAACACTATAAAGTATTATGGCACCCCAACTTGGGATTCATCAATTGTCTTGCACCTTGTGGAGGAGAAATTCAGCCTAAAAGAGAATGAATCTAATTCATAACTTGAAACCAATTATTCATCACAAGTTTAACTTCCTCAAATTTTACACCAACATAATTGTGTATGCATCTGCTAGGATCCAATCACGTTATCAAAATTGCTTCAACTTTCAATTATATTACACCATTTTCAAAAGGGAAGATCCCAATTATGAATTACTTGCAATTGCATCTTACAATTGTTTTTCTCCATGTCTATGTATCAGTTGTCCATTAACTTCATATGCTTCTAAAAAATAACTGTACCAGTGTGAAATAACACCAACCCTAATGGCTGATCGATCTTCAAAATTGTAGCTGCACCTACCTAATTCAATCATCAATGGCCGGTTCCTAGCTCCTACCATTACCATTTGCCGTCAAAACTAACGTCGAAATGACATCACAATCGTGGTTCATTTGTGCTCTTAACAAGAGTGACATTTCTTTCTAATATTCATTATTTTATCTAGTTGTCTGCCTTAGCAATTTAAATTTCAGATTAGAAGAAAGATTCGTTCAATTTTTGATAACCAATGCATATATAATTTTTAATTTTTCATATAAAGTAATTCATCAAATCTTGATTAAGGGCGTAGGTTTAAGATAGTAGATGTTGGCGCAGTTTAAATAAAGGAAGTAGGAAATGGGACATGATACTAAAGGATAAGAGGCTCCGTCCGTACACTTCTCATAATTTGAGGCTTTGATTCTCTCGTAATTATTGACACGACAAGCTCAGAATTGAGCTAATTAATATGTCAATTATTCGACCTAACCGATGCAATCACTTGTAAATTAAGTAGTAATCTTATATTTTGTTTTGATAAATAATTGTAAATAAACATATTGTTAACTTTTGATAAAAGAAACAGTGAACCGTGAAATGTACATATCAATATGCCAAAAAGATAACAATAAATTTGCTCATTTTGATTAAAAAGGATTGAAGCTCAATGAGCTTATCGGAGGATGAAACTTGAAAGAATTGTTCTGGAATCACATCCTTCAATGTAATTTATTTGTGCTTTCCCCTTTCATCATGCAACAAGTTAATTGAAAAAAGAAGAAAAACATATCGATTCAGATTGCAGATTATTTTTTGACATGTTGACTTCTGTGGCCGGAAAATGATTTTGCTTATATCTGTGGAGCGGATTTGAGATGATTGTTTACAAACTATGTTGTCTTTTCTGTCGGCAAAGAAGCCGATTTTACCTCTTTTTTATTTTAGTGTTTTATTTTTTGGTTGCCTCCTTGTGGTTCTGCTTTCTTGTTTTTCAACTTTTTTACAGTAAGTAAATAATCCTGACATACTAAAACTTTATTCTGACTAATGCATCTCCTTCTTTCCCAACCACCTAAAAAAGTTTCAAAAGAAATTTTCTAATGTGACCAGTTGACACATTAGTACACAATATTTATACCTTGGTGTATTACTTATATGCATATGTTTATATATATTGATTGCCCCTTTCATTTGGACAATTTCCTAATTTAGGTTCAGTAATTTAAAAAGGATTTTTTAATAGGTACCAACTAGATACCCATTAACACGCCAACGAATCTTCTGTCTCATACCCTATGCCATTCTCTGTCTCACTTTTTATTATATTGTTATTTCTCCTACATAAATATCATGTTTTAGTCCTTTTTTGTTTCTTTAAGATCCAATAACTATTAACTGAGTAATACAAAAAATTTAACAAACTCAAAAAATAAAAATGCATAAAAAATGAGATTTTTTATGAATTTTCTGCTGTATTTTTTAATTTTCTACTATATATATTGCTTTTTTGAAGCTATTGTATTTTTTGTATTCAATTAATAGTTATTAAATTAATTAGGTTTTTTTTAAATACTAACACCTCAAACCGCCCTTAACGAGTGTCTCACAAGCACCGGTTAGTCAAACCAATTTAAAAACTATTCTTGCAACTGTTCTTCATAAGTGCTTATAGGTCACAAGACACTCGGTAGACCAATGTTTCCAAAAAGCTCCAAATAACTGCTAACCAATCTTACCAAATTAAATCCCTTTTCCAATTCAGCATTTCAACCTTCAATCAAAAGCTTCATTTTTCATACATGAGTTTCTAGATCAAACCACTTACCAATCTTACCCAAAAGCTCCAAATAACTGCTAACCAATCTTACCGAATTAAATCCCTCTTCCAATTCAGCATTTCAACCTTCAATCAAAAGCTTCATTTTTCATACATGAATTTCTAGATCAAGCCACTCTTTGTCGAATTTCCTTTCCTTCACTTGTGTAAATCTAAACCACTGAAGCAATCATGAGCCTTTTTTTTTTTTTTTGAAGCTTATGAAAGTTTGAATTCCAATGGTTTTTCTTCAATTTCCTATATCATTTATTTCTTTGTGGGTTACAATCGGTTCTCTTAGATTTTCAATCAGTTTAATTTCTTTGATTTCAATCCATTCAATTAATTTTCGTTCTATAAAATCCAGACTTTTCTGGAAATTCTGCCAGCGGATGCGTAGGCATCTGTTTGGGGCGATAGTAATTCAGTTCCTTCCGAATTCCCCTTGGACCTTTATAAGTCCTCCTCCCCCTAGTATAGAGTAGGAGTAGGTTTATAGTAGATTCTATCGTGCCTGGGAAAAAAAATCAGTTATATTAATTTGATCTTCATTATGACATGCTCAGCACAGCAAAATCGGTTTAGTTCTTCAGTAGTAAAACTCAGTACGCACACCAACC